TCACAGATTTCTCACTGTATTCAGGTAAAGTGTCTAGCTACCATAACTTCTCGACATGATAACGCAGTACATCTGCAGATGAACTGAGAGATGTAAACAAACACTGCACATGCTCTGTACTGCTCTGGGGCTGAAAATCTGTGATCGGACCTTGAAGTGTCCATCCTAATTGGGTTTTAACACCTGCAGGAGACCCATATGGTCCCTGTCTCAATGGAGCAGTAGGCGTGATGAGGTGAGTATGATCTGAGCCTATGAGCAGGAGTGGCGCTGCTTGATTAATGATGGGTAATGGGATACCTTGAAGATGCTTGTATCTCCGCTGGAGAGATGATACAGGGTAGGTGTGGTCTGAAAGTGCCAGGTGACTTGCAGTGAAGGCATTATTAATTGTGTAGGTTTTCTCTGGGTGTGCGATGGGTGAGATTTTGAAACTTACAGATGAACCTTGAATAGTTTCAACTTCTTGACCGACCGTTCTAAGTGATAATCTCTCTGCTTCCCCAGTTAGGTTGAGATGCTGTGCAGCTGATGTTAGAAGAATGGTACGCTGGGAGCCATCGTCAAGTACTGCATATGTTTCAAGGGTTCTTTTGCCATTTCGCAGGAGCACTTTCACAACCTTTAAAAGGACACTAGGACAATCACTAGGTCTATCAAAGTATAGCGTCCTCACTACAGGATGAGTGTCAGTTTTAGATCTCTTATTTACATCACATAGGATCCGTAGATGTCGTCCCATACAGGTGGCACATGCTTTCTTCAGGTCACACTTTGCGGCCTGATGAGTCCTAGCACAACGCCAACACCGTTTGTTTGCTTTTATCCAGTTTATTTTCTCATCCTTTGTCTTCTGAATGAACTCGGGACACTTACTAATGTGGTGTTCAGGTGAGCGGCAATATGCACATCTAGCCTTAGTTATGATCGGTTGTGCTGCCTGTACAGGATCATCAGATGTATTTGCTTCATGTAATATTGTTGTAAGTGGAGAGGTGTACTTACGGGCAGGTCGTGGCTGGTTGAAGGATGAAACAGGACTGGCCTTCTTTGGTTGACACCTGCATTCCATTTGCAACCAGGATGAGAACAAAGGCAAGGTATACGTTATTTCTCCCTGTTCCCTGTAAACGTGCCGTTTGAAGCGACTGAAATGCTCTGCAGGCAACTTCGCTAACAAGCGATCGACATGGGAGCCACAATCTAGTTCTGCACGTCCTTGTTCTCCCATAGTGCTAAGCAACCCAACTAAAGCCTGTACTCGAAGAGCAAAATTATCAAGGCTCTGACCATCACCTGCTCTGATAGGAGGCAGTTCCAGTATATTCTTTAGCTCTTTCAATGCCAGCTGTCTTGGTTGCCCATAACGCTCATCAAGGGCTTTGATGGCTTGAGTGTATGTATGGGTCAGGAGCGTAGGAAAAGGCAAGAGCTAATCGTTTAGCTTGGTCTACTTTGAGGTGATCAAGAAGGACATGATATTTGAAGTGCTCTGTCTCATGAGGATCAAGAAGGTTTGTAAGGGCCATCCGTAACATCCTGTATTGCATTTCGTCTTCTCTACTAAGGTCTGGAAACGAAGGACCTTCAAGCTTATATACATGTGTTCTCGTGCTAGAGGAGTGACCCGAGCTAGCAGTATCAGGTATCAAAGGTTTCTGTTCATATGAGGCATTGGATGTAGCTGGTTGCTGCTCTAGAGGAGGGCAATATTTGTGGTCAGATATGCGAATGAGAGGTTGAACAGGGTCTTCCGCTAAAGGAACAGCAGGTTGAACACATGAGATCTGGTGGGGATCCTGCCGTGATAAGGCCAGGAAATCAAAGGGAGTCTCATCTTCTGTAGCAAGGACTGGTCTAGGCAAACCAGTGGAAGGGATTGCAGCATCTAGTATTGTTGAATTAGGTAAAGGAGGGCTGGCAGCTGTAACTAAGCCAGACTGACGGCTAATCTGCGGGGGCTGGAAGGGTGATTGACAGGTTGCTGTATCAATCACTGGGAGCTGCTCATGTTGTTGATGTGTTTGAGGACTGGCTCGTAAACTGCATACAGAAGCTTTGATTCCATCAGATGAGACTGTGCGAATGGAAGATCTGGAGCTACGAGAATGGGAAGGAGATGATTGAATCATAAATTGCCTAATCTCCCTCATTGTTGTCAGGAGTTCCCTCATGACCTCATCTTGGTTGGTGGGTAAAGGAGCAGGGGATGTCTCTGGTTGTCTTTCTGACTCTCCGACAGGATCCTGCGGCCCATGTGTGTCTTTGTCACTATGCTGGCATTCGGTTTGGCTCTCTGTCTCACATGTAGCTCTTCTAGCTCCAGGATACTGAACGTCATACTGCTGCAGGTAGGCAGGAGGTCGACTATCACGACTGGATCTTCTCAAACCTTCAGTCAATGGCTGCTTTGAATCCATGACGCTAACACTGCTCCAGCTCGGAGGACCATGTTTTGAAGGGAGGAAGGTTCAGGGCTGAAGCAATCAGCTCATGGGCTCATCCGGTTAGAATAAGAAAAGCAGCCATCTAATGCAGAATTATTTTCAGGGTTCTCCTTTTATTCTCAAATAAATAAGGCAAAGAAGGAAGGAAACAAAGACACACATGGACTGCCACAGCTCAGCTGCCGCCCCGTGTGGAAGTGAAGAAAGAGTGAGCCAAAAGTGAATGCAGTCCTTATATAATGTGTGACATATAATGTGTGACAGGTGAGTGCAATCGAGGACAAGCACCACACCCAATCAAAGGTGAGAGAACTAAACAAGGTGCATCTGGTGAAGTGAGTGGGTGTGCTGGGATGTGCCAAAGGGTGGGTCTCTACAACAATCACTGAGATGTGAACAGCTGTGATGTGTGCAGCACTCAGCAGAAACAACAGACCAAAGATCCACGACATCCACACAGAAACACCCTGGCAGGAGATACTTGTGGACCTTTGACCTCCTCTGAGTGGATTACTATTCCAATTTCACTGAGGTTGAGTGGCTGAAGTCAGACACAGGAAGTGCAACAGTCATCACTTATGACTTGGAATCCCTGAAACAGTGATTTCAGATAACGGACCGGAGTTCAGCTCCCTGGAAGACTTTGCAAAAAAGTGGGAGTGTCTCACAACACAACAAGCCCCCACCACGCACAGTCAGACGGGGTGGCAGAGAGAGGAGCACAAACAGTGAGACTCTTGTTAAAAAGGCAAACGCTGAGGGAACAGATCCTTATCTGTCCTCACTCTGATCTCTGTTGGAGGACGTTGGAGCGTCATCGGCCCGGCTGTTAATGGCTCGACACATGAGGTCAAGACTTCCAACAACATCACAAAGGCTGAAACGCTCACTAACACACTGCAGCACTTATTAGAAACAGGGCAACAGAAACTGAGAGAATACTTTCATCGAAGAACGAGAGAAGTTCAGCAACTTCAGATCGGCCTCAAGGTCAGACTGTGGCCACAGAGCGTGTGGAGTCCAGCCCAGGTGTGACGGCTGCACGCACGGCTGCACGCACAGCCACACAGCGGTAATATCACCATGTTGTGTAGAGGCTGATACATAACACTGCCTTCTAAAATAAGTGCGCACATTTCAGTTTACACTGTTATGCATGATTTAATCTTTCCTTAGTAAATTACCTTAGTTGCAGCTGCTCCAGTCACTTGACTGAAGAGCCAAGAGGTGGAAAAGGGGCGGAGCAAGCCTTGATAGAAAGCTGCAAATTGGCTCATTCCATAACTCGGGACCATGGGGGGAATTGGAGTCCATTATGTTAGTTTTAGTTAGGTTTTGTGTGTTTTAGCCCTTTTTGTGGGCTGGTCAGCCTCTATTTAAGTTTCCCTTTGTCTCGTTATTAAGTGAGGTCCGTTTGTTAACTTTTGACCTGTTTTATGGGCCCAAGACTTTGATCCTTTCTGCATGATTTAACCAATTACGTTTGTGGGTTACATTAAAAACAAATCATTTTTTGGATTTTAAGCTGTGCCTAAGTTTGCTTCGCTGCTCGGTCCGTCACACCAGATAACGGGTCTCTCTGAACATCCAAGATCCTGTGTGGTTCAGATGCCTGATGGGCAGCAGGGACACTTTCTAAAGCAGTCAGGGCAAAGAGGAACACGTCACAACACGGCACGCGTATGTTAGAGCAGGAAACGCTGAGATGTCAGTCGTACAGCGCGTGGACGTCTCCCTGAGCAGTGAAATGACGTCATGTTTGCAGCAGTCGGTTGAGGTTTGAAAAAAGGAAACGTGTTCATGCCGAGCAGCTGTTTTCTCTGCTCACGGACACTGGGCTGTGACGTGGGTTCATTCGGTGGTCACTGAGTCAGATGCAGTTCATGTGGGAGCCACAGGAGGGCGTGGTAACGCATAGAAATGAAGTGTAGCAAACCCTGAGGACACGGTGTCACGTCTGCTCGGTAAAGTCATTCACGAGTGTTTAACGGATCAATTATTGGCTCACGCTGACATGACGTTATTGATCAGATAGGAGGCACGCCCACAGCGCCTACGTCCCTTCACCTCGTGTTTTTTCACCTTTTAGGGAGCTTCCGTACTGCGCATGCTCTGTGTGACACAGTTAGCGTCCCGTTACCATAGCAACGTGTCAGCTCAACTCCGCAGGACACGGAGCAAAAAAAAAAAAAAAAAAAAAAAAAGGAAGGAAGGGGGGGAGGAAAAAGAAACAGACACACACACAGAAACACACACAGAAACACACACACACAGAAACACACACACACACACACACACACACAGCACACACACACACACACACACACAACACACACAGACACACACACAGACACACAAACAGACACACACACAACAGACACACACACACACAGACACCCACACAGACCACACACTCAGACACAACACACACAGACAACACACACACACACACAGACAAACACACACACAGACACTCACAGACACACACACACACACACACAGACACACACACACACACACACTCACAGACACCACACAGACACACACAGACACAGACACAACAGACACACACACACACACACACACAACACACACACACAACACACACACAGACACACACACACTCACACACAGACACACACAGACACACACAGACACACACACACAACACTCACACACACAGACACACACACCACACACAGCACAGACACACACACACACAGACACACACACACACACCAGACACACACACACACACACACACACAGACAGACAGCACACACACAGACAGACACATCACAGACACACAGACACACACAGCACACAGTCACACACAGCACACAACACACACACACACACACGCACACAGACACACACACACACACACACAGACACGCACACAGACACACACACACACACAACACACACACACAGACACACAGACAGACCAGACAAGACACACACAACACAGACAGACACACACAGATCACACAACACACACACACAGCACAGACACAGCACACACAGACACACACATACACACACACACACATACACACAAACACACACACAGACACAGACACAGACACACACACACACACACAGACACACACACACAGACACACACACACACACACACAGACACAGACACACACACACACACACACACA